TAGAGGCCATGAACCATATTTTGCTCTTGGTTATATCTGTCAAAGAAAAGGCAGGATCTGCCATATGGGCAGCACTAGGTCTGGGCACTGCCCTTCCATCGTCAACACTGTGTTGACTTAGACATATTTACGGTGTCTAGAAACATCTGCTCTGGTTCCAAGGGTCAAGGATCTGAATAAGAGAAGAAGATGGCAACTGGGTCATGTGTAAAAGGTCGGGAAAAGGACAGAACTGCAGGCTAGAAAGGGAGGAACAGAATCTGACTCTAGAATGAATCAATAGTTCAAAAAAAAAACCATTTAAATAATTCTAATACGTAAGCTGAGAACTAAAAATTATACTAAATTCATGGAACAACATTTAGAATTCTGATGCACCTTGTTGAGTCTTGTGTTTGGTTTAACTAATAAATCATTCATTCCATTTCCTAAACCTAAAATCATAAGCAATTAAGTAAGCAAAGAACATAGAAAATACACAATAGAGAAAAGTCCTCAGTAACACTCACTCAGTCTTGAAGATAATAATCAGATGTGGAGAGAAAGAGGCTGAGAGAACGTCACAGGACACCAAGAAGTCATTGGTAGAACTGTGGCCGCTGGTTAAAATATGGACAGATTTCACAGTTGACCAGAAAAGTCATCATGTTCTGTTCTTCAGATCAAATAAACATCTAAGGATGGAACAGTTCAACATCAAACATTCAGCTCCTCTGTCCATTCATTCATCCATCTATCCCAACACTTTGGGTGCCTAATAAAGGGCCAGGCAAATGAGCCTAAAGTTACTGAAATAGAAAAAAGAAAGAAGCAGCCCCCGGCCCAAGGAGTTCCCAGCAAAGTACGAAAGATTCTCCAGGGAAAGTTTCACGAAGATGCAGCCATTGAGACTCCCTGGCTTGTCTGCAGTGCCTGGGTCAAAGTGAACGAAAGTGAACCCAGCACGATTTCTGCCGCATTCTTGCTTTGCCACAGCTACTTACCTACAGAACCGTCATATTCATATATTTAATCAAATTATTTCTTTTTTGGCTAGTTGATAAATGCACCATTGGCAGAGTGAAAGAGGGTGTGTCCTTTTCTTCTCTGTATTTTGTTTCCTTTAATCCCCTCCATGAAGCAACTGGGATTTTCCACCTTGGCTCTGAACTGCGACAATACTGAAATAGTCAAGAAACTATTCCTTTCAGTAAATGCCAGCTTTATAGATAAGAAAATTTATGTTCAGAAGCTTGTTCAATGTCACCCACTGACAACTGTAGTAAGAACTTTTTTTTTTTTCACCTTTTTACCCAAACCTAATCTAGAAAAACTTATGGGGATTTCCACAGCACTGCATTATTCTGAGATGGGTGACATATTAAACCATTAAAAATGACTGAGTCTGACCCTGTCTACAGGGTGCATAGTCAGCCCCAGCAAGAAACTTGTGGGCACGTGTGAGAGAGATCAAAGTGACAAGTGCAGCATTTGATAGAAAAGTCTAGTTAAAGATGCAAGAATGTCAGTAACAGCACTTGACCTGGTTAATTTATGCTTAAAACTGTCCAACATGCTTTTCTACTATAGACCCTAAGAGCAGGTAAGGAAAGGGTTATTACACTGCCTTATCTAAGACTTCCCCTTTATTTGGAGTTTGTCTGGAAACTCCTGGAAAATGGGAACCTGGTTGTATCACTACTTTTGAAATGGATGAATGAGCAAATTCACTGAGGATTTGCAATGAAATCTAAATCCTTATTATGATGGACTCTATGGCCCGGTCCTTCTCAGCTTCCTCCTTCACTGGCCTCAGGCCACACTGTCCTTCTTCCCACTTCTGGACTGCATTAAGTACTAGCCCACCTGCGGCAGGGAGCCCTCCCAAATGCTGATGCTCCCAGATGCTGTTTCTCAATTTCCGCAATATTGCCATTCTGGGCCTGAAAACTCTTTGCCATGAGGGGCTGTCCTTTGCATTGTAGGAAGTTTAGCAGCACCTCTGGCCTCTATTCACTAGATGCCAGCAACACCACCAATCCTCTACCTGCCTCTTACCCTGTGCCATCCAGTCATGACAACCAAAATGTCTCTAGACATTGCCAAATGTCCCCCAGGGATAAAATCGCCCCCAATTGAGCACTATTGCTCTAGCTGGTTCCAGCTCATCCTTCAGCTCCCAACTTAAATATCACCTCCTCTCAGAGGCCCACCATGGTTACTTCATCTAAAGTAAATCTCCTAATTATTCTCTATCACCCCAGGACTTTCCTTGATAGATACATGCACAATTTATAATTACATACCTATTACCTTATTTACTTGTTTAATGTCAAACACATTCTATTGGAAGCCGAATGAGGGCTATGACTGTGCATATTTCATTTGCTGGCACAGTGCCTGACACAAAAAAAAGATGCTCAGTTAAAACTAGCCAAGTGAGTATATTATATTAACATTGCAGAGGATAGTGAGGGTAGATTTATTTTGTATCCAAAGTCCCTAGATAGACCCAAATCTACGCAGGGGTAGGTATTTATATTCCAGGATGTGTGATGAGTAACTGCTTTTTGGCTATAGCGTTTGTCAAATGTCCCTTACAGAAGGTACACTGGGTGTAAAATTAAGCAATTTTTATACTTTGTTCTCAGAGAGATCTTGATCCAAAACCCAGTTCTGCCACTTCCAGCCCGAGTTAATCAGTTCATTTCATTGACCTGGAGTTGTCTGCTCTGTAAAGCAGGGTTAAGAGTACCTGCTTCAGCAGAATGTAGTAAGGAGTAAGGATATTGCTTACGAAGTGTCTGTCGCATAGCAACTGCTCAGTAAAATGGCAAGTATCATCAAATATTTTTCTGATAATAATATCATTAATAACCTAGTCGTGTGAATCCTGGGCCTTACCAGCCCAGGCACACTCAGCTATTGCCATTTGCTTGCCAACAGCCAAGCAAAGCTTATAGACCCTGCAAATGGACAGGGTCTACAGTTCATTTTCCTTGTATCTAATATGCCCCAGCTGAGCCTTGAGTCCAGCAAATGGCAATCTACCCCTAACCCCAGCCATCTTTGTTCAGTTACTATAACTTAGCTTTTGCCCAAATTTCCTGGCTTGCATTCTATTTCCCTTCCCAGGACAAACTTTCCCCCTGAGGCTCACTCACTTTATTAGGCTGCAAACATTCTCCTAGATATTTCTAGGCCCCTCTCTATGCCAATAACCATAGTCGATCCAATAACACAGACAACCCAAACCACGGTGACAATTCTAACATCAACACTATCTAGAAGCCCCCACGCTGCCCCTTATCCAATAATCAGACCAAATGCTGGCTTGATTGGCCTGATTGGCGCCAGAATTCCCATCTGGAGAGCAGGACATTGACTGCGGAAACACACGGCGAGCTGGAATAGCCTTGAGGAAAAGGCATGTGGATTATTTGGAGAGAGAAGAAGGGCTAGGGCACACGGTTGAAAATTGCTAAGTCACAGCCCCACGCATCCATTCCCTGCTTTCTTCCCTCCCCCCGTCTGCTGCAGAGGTCCCAGGGGATCCCTGAGCCAGTAGGTGATAACAAACTATGCTGGAAAGTCTTTGAAACATATCCATAGCCTTGAAAATAGTTAACATAGCCATAACTCTTCTTATATTTCTGAAAAGTCCAGTTCATAGCATGATTGATGTTGTTGACGAAAATAACCCATAACCAATCTATAAATGAAAATTTGGGTGAGTTTATTCTGAGCTAAAATCTGAGGACCATGGCCCGGGGCCTTTCTTCCCGAAGGAAGAAAGGGCACCAAAGAAGTGAGATGCACAGAGTAGTTATACACCCCCAAACAGGATGTTTCACATATGATTGAAATGTCCTTTTTACAACAGTTGCGAGACTGCTCTGTCGGCACAGCGATTGATGGAAACAGCAGGTAGGTCTGCTGTCTCGGTGAACACAGCAGGGTGGCAGGTCTGTTGTCTCGAGCTGGGTGGTCACAGGTGAGCTGGGTGGTCAAAGGTGAGCGCAGCAATCAGTTCCTAGCCTAAGGAAAGACGCTTATCCTTAAGGAAATGCCAATATGGGGGGAAGTTGCACCTTTATCTTAAGGCCATTTGTTCTTACCATAGGAAATGTTTTAAAGCAGATATACAATGTGTGCTCAACGGCCACAGTCAGGCCCTTTTGGGAAAACAAAGTCAGGCCGAATTAGGTTTACACCAAATGGCTTCCTCATATACTCCAATATATCCTATTGCTTGCCATTTCAATTTGTCAAGGTCAACAGCCTCCGAGTGTCCTGACTTAGGGGTTCTGGCGCAGTGTTTCAGCAAACTCTTCCTCATACTTAATTTCGCTGGGTGGGGTTGGTATAAGCTAGTAAAAATTTAAACTCCTTTCTGATTGAGTGACATGTGAATGCCAGTCAAAGAGAACCTGTTGACACATCTGGCTTGCTAGCCTAAAGAGCAAAGAGAAGGAACCATTGTCCTCGGCCTCCAGTTAACTTTTCTCTCCCCTGTAGCTCCAGGCTCAGCAAACGTTTTCCATAAGGGGCCAGCTAGTAAATATTTTAAACTTTGCAGTCCACATATAGTCTCTGTCCTTTCTTCTTCTCCACCTCCTTCTTTTATTTTGTCTTAAATCCTTCAAAAATATAAAAACCAGTCTTAGCTCCTGGGTCACACAGAAATAGTCCACACTGTCCCACAGGCCATGGTTTATTGACTCTGCTCCAAGCCTCACAAATATCTGAATAACGGCCTTCCAGCTGACGATTCAAGCCAAAGTCCATTTACGTTACTTGGGATATCGTGCTCAGTGGTAAAATTTCAATTACCTCGCAATAAGCTTCCCAGCACTTATGAAAATGTCTAAGTTATTGGTAATGCATTGAGCATATACTTAAGGTTTGTACATTTTACAATATGAAAGTTATAGCTCAATTTTTAAAAATTTTTAAATGTTATTAGTATGTATTTATTTAATCTTTATCTGTGTCTCTCTTGCTTACCTTTTTATTTCTAGAACCATGCCCAGCTTAAAGGAGGCACTCATTTATTGAGTTATGGAGAAAAGAAGAGAGAAAGAGGAGGAGGGATGGTTGTGGAGGAAAGGAGATGGAAGAGCATTATGAACACAACACCCAGGACTGCAAACTAACATGAGCCATAATTGAAGGGCCAGATTTCTTGAAAAACGCCTGTTACATAGGCAAGATGAGGCACCTGGTTCTAACAGGCAAATAAAATTATTCTGTGAGAATCATAGAATTGTTGTGTCTGTGTTCTTGCCAGTCACCCAGTGCAGCATAATGCAGGAGTCCCTGTCAGGTTTATCAGAAGCGTGACTTTCAAAGTGGGGACCCACCGAGCTACAAAGTCAGGAGAGATTTCCAAAATTCAATTTGATATCATTTTAATATGCACAATAGCTGTATGGGCCCCCCCAAAATTGGAAGTGCTACAGAGTTGTATGTAAAAGACTTTTCTTGACAAACCTCGAGAGGCAGAGAAAGAGGGTGGCAGACTGCCTTGCGGAGAGAATTAGAAGTTTGAGGGCTAAGTGACCGCCTGGCTCTGGAAATCCACGAGGAAGCTGCAAGAATCAGGTTCGGTATGTCCCATCAAGGTCACTAAAAAGAATACAGTAAGCCTCCTGGCTAAGATTTCCAGCCATTATGCAACCTCAGGCAAGCCAAGACAGTAACCCCAGACCGTGTGGGAGGATGAAGTTGTTCCCATCATGGAGAAGTACCTTTCAACTCCGGGAAGATTCAGAATGGAGCAGAATCGAATAAGATAATCAAAGCCATCTGTTGCTCTTTTGAGTCTAGGGCGTGTGTGTAAATTTAGTGTTTTCTGTACGAGGAATATTTAGGAGAATTGAGTCTATCAGAATATCAGCCTTCTAATTAGAATTTAAATGTGTGGGCCAGCCGGGTGGTGCAGCAGTTAAGTGCGCATGTTCCGCTTCAGCAGCCCGGGGTTCACCGGTTCCGATCTTGGGTGAGGACATGGCACCTCTTGGCACACCATGCTGTGGCAGGCATCCAACATATAAAGTAGAGGAAGATGGGCACGGATGTTAGCTCAGGGCCAGTCTTCCTCAGCAAAAAGAGGAGGATTGGCAGCAGTTAGCTCAGGGCTAATCTTCCTCAAAAAAAAAAGAATTTAAATGTGTAAATGAGTTCTCAATATAGACTTGTTATTTTGGGTTGTAATCTTTTAAATTTGGAAAATAGCACTGGAACATTTAAAAGAAATTTAAGTTTGTTACATTTATACATTTACTGTATTGGATTTATAAGAATTATTTAAGCACTTGGGAAGGTTTATTAGATGAACAATTTTTAAAGCTAAAGAACTAAAATATATCAAATATATAAATGCAGTGTAAAATGCCTGAAGATGTTTAATTAACAAATCCATAAATAGAACCAAGCATTAGTCAAAGACCCTTACAAATGATTGCAATACTTGACTTGGTTTATAAATAAACTAAGATTTGTAAGCTGAACTTTAAACGTTAAGGGAAAACTATAATAAATTTATTATTAACTTTTAAAGCTTAAAACCTCTGAATAGTCTTTTCTGCACCTAAATCAGGCCTCAAGTACACTGAAAAATTTACATAACACCTTCATCACCAGCCTTAATTCCTTCTGTATTTCCTCTTATGACATGATCCACACACATCTCAGAATTTCAGTTACCTCCTCCAGATAGTAATTTATCACTATGCCTGTGGGCACTTATTGCAAAAAATTCAAATCATTACTTATCAATTTGACGTCCAAGAGGTACTTAGTAATTTAAAATCAGGTAATAATTTAAAATCACCTAACTTAAAACCAAGATTTTCTGGTGTAATAATATAAATTCTAAAAATGAGATAAAATGTAAAATAACTCAAAATTGAGAAAACAGCCCAAATTAACCTGCTAATTTAGAGCTTCTTTGTGCCAAAAAAATTTAGCCTTTCAGGTTGGGACTTTGCCCTATCAGTATAATATGTCGCCTTCAAAAGCATATCCTGCCTCCAATTTAGGGACCATTAGCAGAAACATGCCACCTAGCATAATCTGACAAGAGGATGGAGCAACAGAATAAAAACTAAATGTATATGCTATCTACAGATAGTGTTTTTCCAATTCTAAAAATATTGTTTTAGTATAGGAAAATAGTGCTATTAGCTTTGAGTCATTTTCAAGTAGTGGTAGCTTTAAAAGATAAAATGAATACAAGTTATACTGGGTGTGAACACCTCCTATAACAGTAGAAGAGCATGCTCGTAAAATCGTTGGTTTTTTTCCAAAAACAAAATTAATGGACATGAATGGGGGATGTCTCCAATTATGAAGTAAAAGGACAGAGGGAGAGCCCCATAGGCAAGAAAGAAAAAATAGCACGTTAGGTAGATTTAATTAAAGTCTTTACAGCATTTCACCTATGACTGTGCTCTCCCTTACGGTAGTTCAGGGTTTCTTTACTACCTAAGTCATAACTGTACATGATTAAATTTAAGAGTAAAAAAGGAACAAAGAGCAACTTCTGCCTTTGGCCACCTTCAAAATAACCACCAACTAGACTTCTCCTCCTGCCAAATGACAAACAAATGAGGCAATTATTTTCAGACATTGGACACCAGGCAGCATGGGACTGAGATCCTTGAGAGAAGGGAAGCCCATGAAGTGAGCAACACAGTCACCCTGGTTTTTTGCCTCAGGAAACCTTCTAAACTATAGGGACCAAGAAGTGGACCCCAAGCAGAGCACAGAGCTCAGTCTCCCTGAGTCGAAGAGGCAGAGACTGACATTCAGGGCTGCTAAAGCTCTGGAAGGTGTAGGATACGGTACCAGAGATGAGGGAGCTGCAAAGAGGCATTCCTAGAAGTCTGCATGCAAGTTCCCAGCAGGAGAACTTGCCTGAGGAGAGAGTTGCACATAGGTGGGGCAAAACTCTGCAAGGCCCAGTGGAGAGAGGCTGCTGCAGGGTTGACAGCTGAATGGAGATCCCAGAGGTAGCTCAGTGCTGAGAGCTGTGGAGTTCCAGCCCAGCCAGGGCGGGCGGAAGACCCTGTAAGGCTCTTTGAGGACTTCCTAAGACTCCAGGAAGGCCACGCGATAGGAGGAAGTATCATGCCCTCAAGTGTGGGGAACAAAGAGCAGAGGTTGGCAAAATTTTTCTAACAAGACCAGAGAGTAAATATTTCAGGCTTGCAAGTCACATGGTCTCCTTCACAATTTCTCAGTTCTGTCATTGTAGGATGAAGGCAGCCACAGGCAACATGTGAATAAATGAGTATAGTTGTGTTCCCATAAAGCTTTATTTATAGACCCAAAGTTGACCTAAGTGTTAGAACTAACAGACAAGGACGTAAAAGCAGCCATTATAAATATGTTTAAGGACTTAACAAGTAAGATAAACTTAAAGATAAGGAAAGACAAAGATAAACAGCTGGGAAATCTCAGCATAGAAATAGAAGTTATAAAAAATAACAAAATGGAAATTCTATAACTGAAAATTATATTACCTGAAATAAAATATTCATGAGGTAGACTTAACAGCAGACTGGAGATTGCATAAGAAAAAGCCAGTGAGCTTGAAGACAAATCAAAAAACATCATCCAGGGAGAAAAAGGAACCCTCATACACTGTTGGTGGGAATACAAACTGGTACAGCCACTATGGAAAACAGTATGGAGATTTCTCAAAAAGTTAAAAATAGAAATACCTATGACCCAGCCATCCCATTACTGGGTATCTATCCTAAGAACCTGAAATCAGAAATCCCAAGAGTCCCTTGCACCCCTATGTTCATCGCAGCATTATTTACAATAGCCAAGACGTGGAACCAACCTACATGCCCAGAAACTGATGATTGGATAAAGAAGATATGGTATATATACACAATGGAATACTACTCAGCCATAAAAAAAGACAAAATTGGCCCATTCGCAGCAACGTGGATGGACCTCGAGGGTATTATGTTAAGCGAAATAAGCCAGTCAGAGAAAGACGAACTCTATATGACTCCACTCATAGGTGGAAGTTAATATATTGACAAGGAGATCTGATCGGTGGTTACCAGGGAAAAGGGGGGGTGAGGGGAGGGCACAAAGGGGGAAGTGGTGTACCCACAACATGACTAACAAAAATGTACAACTGAAATCTCACAAGGTTGTAATCTATCATAACATTAATTAAAAAAAAAAACAAAAAAAACATCATCCAGGGGCTGACCCCGTGGTGCCGTGGTTAAGTGCACACGTTCTGCTTCCGCGGCCCGGGGTTCGCCTGTTCGGATCCCGGGTATGGCCATGGCACTGCTCATCAAGCCATGCTGTGGCAGGCGTCCCACATATAAAGTGGAGGAAGATGGGCATGGATGTTAGCTCAGGGCCAGTCTTCCTCAGCAAAAAGAGGAGGATTGACAGCAGATGTTAGCTCAGGGCTAATCTTCCTCAAAAAAAAAAAACTTCTTGCTAAAAAATGCTAATCATCATCTGAGCCTCAGCAGGTCATAATCTTTCTGCTGGTGGAGGGTCCTGTAAAAAACACACTATCTGCATAGCACAATAAAGTGAAGTGTAATAAAAACAAGGTATGCCTGTAAATGGAATCTCAGCTAAACAGGAAGGAACGAAGACCATGGAAAATGGTAAATATGTGGATACATTAAAAAGCGTAGCTTGTTTTCCTCATAATTTCTTTAAAAGACAACTGCTTAAAGTAAAAGTAGCAACATTGTAGTGTATGGGGTTTATAAAGTCCAGAGAAGTAAGATATATGACAACATTAGCACAAAGAATGGAGTAAAAGAAATTGTACTAGTCTAAATTTCTTCCATTTTACATGAAGTACTGCAATATTAATTTATAATAGACTGTGATTTAAAAAAACAATAGAAGAAATAAAAAAGAACGCTAAAAGTGTTCAATTAAACAAAAAGAATGTGGGAAAGGAGTAAGAGAAGAACAAAAAGACATGTGAGAAGTAGAAAACAATTACAAATTGATGAACCCTAATCCAACCATATCAACAACTACATAAAATGTCAATGGACTGTATACCCTAATTAAAGAGAAAACTGTCAGACTGAATTTAAAAAGCCAGACTGATTTATCTGCTGTCTATAAAGGATGCCATTTAATTATAAAGACACAAATACACTGAAGGAAAACGATATATCTTGCAAAGAGTAAGTGTAAGAAAACTGGTGTGGCCACATTAATATCAAAGTAGACTTCAGGACAAAAGGGTATTTCATAATGACAAAGGGACCGATTCATCAGGAAGATATAATCCTAAATGTGGATGCCTCTAATACCAGATCTTCAAAATGTATGAAATGAAAACTGAGAAAACTAAAGGGAGAAGTAGATAAATCCACAATAATAACCAGAAACTTTAACTCCTTTCACAACTGACAGAAGAAGTAGAAGAAAATCAGCCTGACCAACACCCATCCAATGACTATTGCACCTGGTCTGCTTTCTCTTTGAGGCACCTGGTGTAACCCAATATACTCAGAATGGATTGGAATAGTAATAATAATTCAATACACTTTTTCCAATACAAATTTTTGTCAAATGCTATTTTCTTATCACAAGCTTATTTTCATAAAATTCTTGGAGCTGCTGATTTAGCTCATGCGATTTATGGAGAGGGTTATAGGCTGAATTGTGTCCCCCCAAAGTTCCTATGTTGAAGACCAAACCCTCAGCAACCGCAGAACGTGACTGTATTTGGAGAGAGGGCCTTTAAAGAGGTGATTAAGTTAAAATGAGGCTGTTCAGTGGGCCCTGATCCAGTCTGACTGGTGTCCTTATAAGAGGAAATCTGGACAAAGAGTCGCCAGGGATGCACGCACATGACAAAAGACCATGTGAGGCCACGTGAGAAGGTGGTCCTCTGCAAGCCAAGGAGAGAGGCCTCAAGAAACTAAACCTACTGGCACCTTAATCTTAGACATCTAGATCCCAGAACCGTGA